TCCCGCAGCTTAGTAAAGAACCGAATCCTGAAGATTTTAATCTGGTTGTTTTGGTCGTACTTATAAGGTCACAATAAAAGGAACTGGAGGTTCATAGCCTCTTCATCTAACAGCTCGCTGTAGCTGCTTTGTACTCCCTATAAAAAAAATTCAAATGATCTGCTGATGAAAATATGCCAAAAATTACCACTGTCCTGTAGACGTATTTTTCATTAATGTTTGCAGGTAGCGCCAACCTTGATGATTGTGTTGAGACTGCTTTATAATAAAAGCCACAATATTTCCTGAGTTGGACACTCTGACGTGAAGCTGCAGTAGAATGTTCTGTTTGCTTAAACATTGCTGAACATCAATAAACTGAACTCTATGTCTGTGCACTTTCCTAGATTTACACATATCTTGGGCAAGCTAAATCAGGTTTGCAACTAATATGAAAGCCTATCACTGTCTAATATTGGAAACACATAATAACAGGGTTATGATTTCCACACAACACCGGTAAAGAAACCTGAAACATCCAGCACAGAGTGAAGTTGTCAGTACAGAGAGCAATAATTAGCATTAGCTTTGTGAAAGTTTTGACCGCTAACACAGTGCAGTGTGAAGTTTTTGGATGTAAACTGGACTCTGGAGCTTCCTTTTTGCCATCTACCAAAAGCCTCATCAAAGCAGATGTTATTGTATGTTTCACAAGCTTTAACGCTATTTCAACCACTGCCAGTTAGCCTACAAGCTAACAACATAAATAAAGATGCTAACCCAACTTAGCATTCTGTCATATCTGCTGGTCACTGATTTTGGTGATCAACAGACTCCTCACCGGAGTGTGGGTCTGACTAAGGCTCAGACATGTATCAGAAGTCTTTGAATACCGATGTTTGGGCAGTGACTTGTGCGTCAGACACCAATGGAAAAAGCCAACCTTTCATATCGGCATTATACATGGCCAGGGGCTGTCAGGGTGTAATGTGATTGGGGGAAATGCGACTGGACAACAACGTCAGTTAAGAGGGTGAAAAGCTTGAGTATGGCAGATGGGAGAGGCGGAGGATGGGTCCGACAGTACCGACTTTCAGCCAAGAGGCCAAAGCACGTTCCCCGAATGATTATAAAGCCAAACCCTGTTATTTCTTTCTTAACCTAACCATGTACGGCCAAACGTAACCACGTGTGTTTGTTGTTCATGGAAAAAAACATAAATTTGTGGTGTTGTAGCAATGTAGTAGGTTTATTTTGAAAGACACTGTATGCAAACTGTTCATTTCCTGTGAAAACGGAAGTGTATTTTGAAAAGACATAATGCATGCAACAGGCTGAAGTTGACATGGCGTCCCAGAACATCAACAACAGAAGCGCTAAGGCTACCCTGCACGTCATATGTCTACGTGGAAAGTCTACAACCAAGCGGCAATATGTGACAAGGTTGGAATGTGTTGGAATCTCTCTGATGTTTCCTCTAATGCTAATGTGTGCATTGCTCTGACATTGGCCAACCTATTGTGAGCAGCACTGTAGAAAGCAGAAGCAAAACATACTGCAAGCAAATTTCTCAATAAGGGAGGAAAAAGTTAGATCTACTTCCATAGTGTCATCTAAAACATGTTTACCAATTAAATGTCTATTGAGCAGCTTCAGACTTTATAACTTATGACTTCTCAAATCTGAGCTTTAGAGCTCGAGTTTTTGGACCTGGGAGAGAGTTGTCCATTATAAATTATATGTTTGGATTGTCTTAGACCATAGGAATGACATGTATGGATTTTGAAAAAGGGCGTAGATTGCTTTAAGGATTATAACTTTAAGGTGTGGGAAAGATATTTTGTTCTCTTAATACAAATTAAGTCTACAGTAATCTGAGACAACGTGTTCCCCAAAATCACAATCACCATCTTCCCTTAACCATAACTGCAGTGCTTGGTTGGCCCTACCTAACAACACACGGGACATGATGCAGGTCAGGTCGGCAGGAATGCTGTTTAGCCTTGCTTCAAATTTTTCTCAGTGGCGACAATTGTAAAAGAGACATCTGTAAAACTGACAAGACACCTTGAACTGCAAACAAGATCAATTATGACTCTTTCTATTATGAATTTTTGAACCATTGAGGTTTTATTTCTGAGGCAAACAGCAGTAATAAACACAACGCCGGCCTTTTTGTATCATTGAAAAATCTGGAAATGTGGGTGGTGACTAAAAGGTCTGCAACCAGGCAAGAAATGTCGAGACAGGGTGATGAAGCTTTGAATTAATTGAAGGAAGTAATATTGGAAATTTCAAAGCCTGTGATGGAATGATTCCATCTTCTGTTTTCAGGACACTTAACCGCTCCTTGAAGTCTTCTCAGGCCTCTGATTCACATTCATCTGCTGCTGCTTCAAAGATGAGAAAGGATCAGCCTAATCAAACAGTGGTGCCCACGTCCCAGAAGAGATCTAGGTCTCTGCCGTGTGTACATTTAAGCTTAGTTCATTTCAATCCTCTATAAATGGTGGTACAACACTATAAAGATTGAATGATTGCTAATAATTATTTTAACCAAACGCACAACTTTTTGGACAAAATTTCTCCTCCTCAAGTCTGACTCAGCAAACAGCTTTGGGCTTTGGTGAGATGCTGTAAATAGCTATGCACAAAATAAATGACTTGTGAGACTGTGTTCTCGGGGGTGCGTGTGTAGTTGTGCGTGCATGAAATGTGCACTTTAGTGCCAGACTTTGAAATCCTGGGAGAGGCTTTGATGGGGGTTTCTTCACATTTTCATAAAGACATGAAGAAGAAGTGGTTTTGCTAAATGGGCCCCTGATTGTACTCATCTTTTAGGTTCACCTGGTGGGACATATACACCGATCAACTACAACTTTAAAAACACTGACTGGTAAAGTGAGTAACATTTATCATCTCGCTACAATGCAGTGTTCTTCTTAGGAACATCGGGTCCTGGCATTCATGTGGATGCCACTTGACATGCGCCACCCAAACACCATTGCAGACAGTGTACACCCCCTCATAGCAACAGACCACCACAATTACACTAAGCCCAACCAGCAGGATAGTGTGCCATGCCACACCGCAAAAACTGCTCAGTAATGGCCTGAGAAACGTGACGAAGAGTTCAAGGAGTCAACCTGACTTCCAAATTCCCCAGAACCCAACATGATTGAGCACTTGTGGGACGTGCAGGAACTCCAACTTGCAACCCACCGGACTCAAAGGATCTGCTGCCAACACCCTGGTGCCAGACACCAGAGGAGACCCCAAGAGGTCCTGTTTTCATATCTCTGTTGGGATCAGACTCGGCTCCTACGTGTTGAGGCATGGACACAGGACCTCTGGGGTAGAGGACTGCATTGAGATTGGGATCCCTTGGGCCTCGCCGGACCCAAACAGAAATCTCGTGGGTATGGGTGGATTTATTTTTGCCGTGGGTGGGAGCAGGTGGTCAAAAGAAAATGTGCGGGTCCTGGAGATTAATTGACATGAGGGATAGAGACATCAACAAGCGACGTGGACAAGACAATAAAAGCAGGACATCATGATACAAAATAAGAGAAGGGCAAGTTGGACAATTTGGAGAATTTTTCTTGGAATGTTATAAATAATAACACTGAATCCCAGAGACACCAGAATAACTGTAATTGTGATTGTAATTATGCACTACAATGTAAGTTCACTACTTATTACTGACATGTGTGCATATTGTTTTTTAATACCACAGTAAAATAGCATGTTTTTCCTGCGGGACAGGAGGCAACTCTATCTACTGATAATCAGTCTATTGTGCGAGCATGTATGGCTAGAATGTTTACGGGTGCAGGTGGAAACTGACAACCACCCTGTGGGAACACACTCTGAAGGAGTAAGTGGTAATGCCCTGGAATCCAGTGGGAGTGGGCAGGAGAGGGACTGGGATGGCGGGTTGCATGTCATGTGGCATCCACATGAGTGCTAGGACCCAAGGTTTCCTGGCAGATCATTGCACTGTAGCCAGAAGATCAATGTCACTTCACCTGTAGGTGGTTTTAATATTGTCACTCATCAGTGTATATTTCCTTTGCAATATGACTGTATGTGGAAACAGTGTGACATTTTATGATCTGTTATGTTGTAGACAGTTGACTTCAAATCAGAAATAACCATGTTATGAATTAAAATTAAAATGCTTTTCCAATATAAAAATTGGATTTCCCCTCTCTCTGGCTAAAGTACAGATTGTACGGCAGTTCCTACCCAAATCTTTGTATGTACTTAGAAATGACAGTAAGCACCTCGTTTTGCTTGTTCTCCGTCAGCAAGTGTTTTGACAATCTATGCTGACAACTGACAAGATGCTGCCTGAGCGGCTTGACGCCTGACAGATTTGTTGTTGTTGCTGCTGGTTGGATCCTACTCTAAAAGATGATCTGGGTCTCTGTAGTCAGTGTTATGTATCTTGGTGGAAATGGTCCTTTTGTGAGGGTTGTCAAGTAATTTCAAGGTGTCAGTAAACTTAAGGTGTGTAGAGGTGATTGGGTCTTGGCTGTGCTCAAACACATCTGTGTGTGTGTGTTGTTGCGAGTCTGATCGCTGAGGATAAATAAATAAATTTCTCCTCTGTTGCGCTTCCATTTCCTGGTCAACGAGCCTTGACGTGTCTCATCTTTGATATGAGCAATCGATCAGCAGCGGGCTTTAAATACTGAATGAGTGAGAAGGGAAAGGATTGAAGATGGACCGTCAGCTGTCTGTAGCTCTGTATGTATGATGGATAATACTCAACCTCTCAGTCCATCACTGAAACAAAAAGCTGCAGAGACAGCAGTGTCACTTGCAGTCTTTGTATCTGCACATCTCACTTTGGCCCAACAGCTGCAACCACTAACAAAGAGAAAAAGAAATGCATTTATTGTCAACTGCTGCATTTGATATTTCTGCACAGATTTCCCAGTTCACATGACACAGTGAGTTCAACTTTCAATTCATCTTTTTTGTGTGGGCGTGTGTTTTTTGTGTGTGTTCCCCAGTGCTGAGCCCGTGCCCTGTTGCTGCATCGTCAGCCAGACGGTGTCACTCCATCTATAAGGGTTTTGCTCAGTGTCTGATGGCTCTGGGCGACAGTCTCACGGACAGCGCTCGCAAGGATGAAGACATGCATGAGATACACTCCATCTGCAGGTCAGTGTAATCACACACATCCAGTGCCACATTAAACACAAACGCTGTCTGAAAAAATCCCATAGTACTGAGTTGTTTAAATAGGAAGCCGAGTTTCAGGATTCAAATATGCATTTGTAAACCCCACAGGGCAGTCAGGTCAGTATCAGTGGGTATTCAGTTACTTTAGGAGAAAGGATTTAGAAAACAAAGACAGCAGCTCTCTGGGGATGGCAGTACATATTCTCTGAGTATGCAAGGCTTTCCCAGAGAAAAGTTTAGACAAGCATTTTACATTTCCACAATGTCAGTCTCCTATCTGATATCAATAGGGCATGTACATCTGAACAATACCACAGATCGAAGCCTTGGCTCTCTAATCCTTTGTTGGACTTGCTCATGACCTGTTCACATGCAGTTACCAAAGACATATTGAAACACTGCATGAAAGTTTCATGGCTGTTGTAAATGAGGATCAATGGCTTTAGAATGTGCTAGTGGTGAATATATCCTGTGTGCAATTCAAAGGTTTTGAATTTACACATGCACTAAATTAGATTCTTCATTGTTATCACCTACATAAATGAGAACACTGTTAAGACCATTAGCTGCCCAATATATCCCCATACAAACATTTGTTTGTGTCACCCCAGGTAGGTTAGATTTAGGCAATTATAGTTATGTAGCGTAGGTTTAGGAAAAGAAACATAGTGACAATGTACCTTAAAATGACCCAAAAGTTCACTTGGATAGACACAGTTCTGATCAGGTGTCGTGGGGGGAAGTCCTGTGTTGTAAAGTCTTGTATTTAGTGACTCATTTTCCACCCCAGCCTGCTCCTTATGTGGACTACTTTGTTCTTTACTTCTGTCAGCGTATTATTCACGTGTTTGCGGCCTTCCCAAGTACGTGGGTTATACACAAATGACTGGCACAGTGTATATACGAATTGTGGTGCATTATTTTTTTGTAGGCATACATGCGAACAGTGCATACTGCATGCTACTTCTGGTTTAGTGCTCCATATGGGGTAGGGCTGCTCGATTATGGAAAAAAATCATAATCACGATTATTTTGGTCAAAATTGACATCACGATTATGCAAACGATTACGCGGCAGACGTGATGACTTGTATTGTTTACACGATGGCATGTCATTTCTATTTCTACATGGTCTTGCGTTTACAATTCTCCTCTGCTCTCTGTATCGCGCATGGTGGAGTTCGGCCCCAGTGCGCGCACACACACAGACACGTGCACACACACACACACACACACACAGACCAACCGCTCTCGCTCTCCCTCTGCCATTTTCTGCAAGCTGTTTTTGAAATCTTCTGCGATCACGTGCCCCCCTCGCATTATTCGTAGTTCACCTACTTGACTGAGTGAATAGAGGAGAGGAGAGGAGAGGAGAGGAGAGGAGGGGGCCGTATTGCGCATGTGCGGCTTCCGTAGAAGACAAAATAACATCTCCAGGCGTCCGTGACCAAAAATTGTTTACCCTCGATTTCATTAATTCGGAAATCGTTTGACCTCAAAATCGTAATTGCGATCACCAGACGATTACTTGCACAGCCTTAGTATGGGGATAAACTGATTTAATCTTGCAGCTCTCCTAGATATTACAAATGTTATTTAATGTTAAATGGATCAAATCTTGATAGTGAAATGAGTCATTTCGTAGGGCTTGTGATGAAAAAAAAGGGAACTGCCCATTGGTCCGACATCCCATTGTTCCGACCATATTAAACACATTGTTCCAAAGTCCCGTTGTTCCGAAATCATCATGATGCCCTGTGGTTAAGGTCTGGTTAGGTTTAGGCACAAAAACCACTTGGTTAGGGTCAGGAAAAGATCATGGTGTGGGTTAAAATGAAAAAGAAAGTGACAAACACATAAGCTGTGAGCCTGCTTTGCCTCAAGCCGGTCGCGGCGCACCATCAAGGCAGAAATACGCCCGTCGGGAGCCGTTCAGCACCGCGGCCTGTCGGACTAATGGGATGTCGGACCAATGGGCTGTCGGACCAATGACATGGACCCAAAAAGATGTATCCATAGATTTACAGACATCTCTTTCCTGGTGAAAGTTAATGGGAAAAAGTCTTCTTGGGCCCAATGGCATCACGTGATCGACCCTGGAATTTGCAGTTCTACCATGGAAATTGGCTTCAAAGACTTTCTTGGGGCCTGATACTTACACACTAGGTTGTTGATACAGAAACAAACTCAACTGACTTTTGGTGTCACACAGGAAACAGAAGATTTCTGGGTGAAGGTCCATAGTTTTTGTTGATCCACCCATCGTATGGAGACTTTCTCACTCCTACACTACGGTAGTTGCCAGCAGCATCAGAAACAGCTGCTGCCCCGTGTGTGACATACTGCTGCAAAGGGTGCCTTTGTGCATTGGTTTCTGTTGCGGAGGTCCAAAACAGCATTATTGGATGAGTTGGTAGTGAGAACAATCTTGACACCCAGGTGGACACACTAATTTTTGCCTCTTTTCCAGTGTGATCCAATGATGTGCCTTCACAAATTCCATCCGATTCCATCTAAGCAACAAACATCGTTCCAAATTAGTCAGCACTGTCTTTGAAAGAGAGACTGGATAATTACAGATATAAACCACTGTAACATTTTCACTGGCCTCTGTGCTGCTTTCTGATTACTAACCTGTTTTCTGTAGCATGTATGAGGTTGGACGTGACATACAAGTAAAAAGAAAGAAAAAAACAAACAGAAAGGCATACTCATGTCCTGAAGAGCTGTGTACACGGCTCTGGACTATTGGCAATGGGAAGGGAGTCTATCACCTAGTTTTACTGGGTTTTACCGCTCTTAAAAAACCCACACATATGCACTATTTCAATGGAAAACGGATATTAGTGGCTGTTGTAAAGGATGGGGTCTGTAAAGGATAGGACATTCTGCACTGTGAGCCAGAAACTCTGAAGAGAGATTTGTTGTGTTCTGAGTTTGGTGTCATCAACACTATGATACTGAAGATGCTGGTGCACCAAACTGACATCAACACTGTTGATTTTTCTTTCATTTCTTCCTTTGTTGTTGCAGACTGTTGAGAATTGAGAATTCCCGGCGCGATTTGCCTTTTGTGAAGCAGTGTTGCTGTGATAAACACCCTGATAAAATAAAAAGTGATTTTACTGAGTGGGCTTCAGTGAGAGGGATATTGAGTCTTTCACTTACACAAAGAGAGTGATTACAGTGATTTATGCAGCATGACTGCTAGATTGCCACAACTCCGCCAGGTGTCAGCTGAAGTTGAAGGAGATATTACTTCCAACATGTTTATCTTGTTCAGTGTGGCGTTTATTTTATACAAAGGCATCACATTTAATTTGACACTGATATTGAAAAATGCTTCATGCAGCACCTTTAAATGGAGTCATTTTAACCTCCTCCAGTTTAATGTGAACAAATATAAACGGTAATGATGGTGTGGAGACAGCGTCTAGGATTCAGGCGTCTGGGTGGATGTTACCTATGACTGTGGTGACATGTGAGAGCAAGTGTCGCTATATAGGACACACTGTCAACATCCGTAATGCACTTTCGACTTGAGTATGGTGTAGCCCTGTATAGTATACGAACACTGACGACCCACTTTTCAGCAAGTCCGCAGTGTTGGTCATGTACTGTAAAACAAGGACCCATCGAGCTGTTAAAGGAACTACAAGAAAATTTTATTTAAGTTTTTTTTTTGGTGGCACCTGTGGACAAAAGCGGGAGAGTTTTCCTTGAATGAAGACTGCATTTCCCATGAGCACCCCTGCCTCATTTCTTAATGTGGCCAGCGTATGCATTTGTTCTGTAAGCCAGCAATAGAAAGAACCAACTTATTTTTAATACTATTTTTCTTGTTTAAACACAGCTGTTTGCAGGATGCTTAGCGATGAGGTAATGTATTTATTAGTGTTTATATGAGATTAATAACTGTAATATGATGATGCCGTTCATAAACGAGTAAGCCTTAATAGATGTGTTTGCTCGGTAATAGTAATTTTGTTGAGAATGCTGAAGTTATCAACATAATGTTATGTCTTCATAATAATGAGCCAACAGCATAATATAAAAGTTTACATTATAAGCCAGTTGTATTACATAATGTCCACCTTGACCTCTATGGACTGTACACAGCCTTTTGCATTAGTAGACATACAGTATAACATACCTGTCCAGGAAAGAGGGCCAATTCAGGATCAGTTCTGAATCCTTTCAGGTTCCATAATTCTCTCCATCTGTTGAATGACCAACCAAGGTTGACATGTTTTTTCATGTGCTCTATCACTGTATGCTTTACTTTTTTTGTTCTCAGCCATAACCACAAAATAAAGCTTCAGAAATAAAATTATCTGTTTCTTTTGAACTAACGATCTTTGTGTGGGAAAATGTAAACATAGGCTCCTCCAGTTTATATGCGTCATCTGGTTTCAAGGGAATCAGACTCAGGGACAGGCATTAAGAATAACTACACAGAAATAGGCAACCTTCTTGCTGATGGGCTGGTTTGCTTTTGTAGGTAGGAAGTACCCAATCGGGGGTCTGGTGACCCCCAGGGGTCCTTGAGGGGAAAATGGGGAAGTGTTTTTTTCCCTATTAAATTCACTATAGAGGTGAGCCAATCATATCTAACAACCAAAGGTCCCTGACATGAAATTTTATCAAATGGGGGTCTGACAGCAAATTTATGGATCCTTGACACAACAAAGCTTGAGAAGCACCCATGAAGGTCATAAAGAGTTATCACTATTCAAATGTGACTGTTTCATAATCAGTCCAAAACACCTTTCAGCTTACAGGAGTTGATATTCTACTTAAAGCTACCCACTAGAGAGCCTCAGAGCCCCATCTAGTGGATTGCAGAGGTACTGCCAAATGGTATAGTTAATTAAAAACAAATTATTTATAAACAATTCACAAGGCTAGTTATTTTTATATCAAAATGTGCTCAAGAATTTACATTTTAACAGAGCAACAAATCAGAATACATATTCTCAA